TCCTTGGTTATTTGTTTTAAYGGCATAATTGAATTAATATCTATTAATTGTTGTTGCTCTATGATATCAGTACAGTTGTATAAATTAGGTAACAGTGCCCACAGGATTAGGTAGATGACTGGAAACAAACAAATTTTTTACAGGCCTGAAGTGCCTTTGCTCATTTCCATATATAGAAGACATTACTTATTGCTGCCTAGTGAATAGATTAGTTTACGATAAGAATAAAAATTATACTATCATAACTAAATTAATGTACTTAATTAGAATAGTTGATGTTTTACCGAGTAGGTAGTGTACATGTCCTCTATGTGCTAATCTAGGTATTAAAGAATAGAAGGTATTCCAACATCAGCCCACCATATTGTTTCCAGTCCTATAATCTTAATCCGCTACTGTACCTAATTAATTAAAATATTTTAGCATTTGATTGATTCAAAAACTTTAATGTTATCATTTTTTTTTTTTACACATGTTCAATGTTCATAACTAATTATAAATTTTAATTAACACTATATAAACGCTTATAATTATAATTTAGGTGTTATCTACAAAGTATAACATTTTAAATTATACTTTTGTTTATTAGTTATTTAGTTATTATACTAATAGTAAAAGAATAACAATGGAATTATTCAATTGTTATGTATTAATAGTTAACTGTCTTCAGTTGTACTATTGATTATAAATAGTATTTATAATCAATGGTTGAACAATACATGGTCAATATTATTATCAATCAGATATCTCTTTTTAATACTTTGATATTTTATGTTTTAGTGACTTCATATTACTGCCTGGATTTATTGATTTTGTAGCTGGAGATGTTGTAAGTCTTCGTTTACTTTTTACCGTAGTAAATTATTACCTAACTTATCTTAATAAAGTGTTACATAACTATTTGATATATTATGTTAAGTATAAGTATATAATATTATAAAGAAACCAAATAATTTAATTTAAAAGGGAATAAAGTTGTACACATCACTCATAACCAGGGCATGGGTCAGGTTACATGACCTTAAAATACTAAAATATGATTAATTAAATTACTTTTAGTGTAGGTTTTCACTTTTAAATGTGTATAGTGTATATCTAATTAATTTAAAAAAATAATACTCTTTAGGTAACTGTTTTTTGATGATATTTTAAATCTAAAATTTTAAATCAAGATGTCAATAGGAATAAGGTTTTTTTTTTTATTATTTAAAATATTTTCTAAAACCAACCCTCTCAAACCCAACCAGAGATTCCATTAAAAATAACTAAACGTATAATGAATCAATTTTAAATATGATTTAGTATGTCATTATTGGTCTAATAATTCAAGTGAACTATTGATAAATTTTTATGCAATTTGAAATTATTTAACTAAATTAGATATATCAAAAATTTAAGTCATAAATATTTAAATACAAACATATAATATATATATATATATATATATATTATACATGGATTTAAATAAATTTAAAATATTTAAACATTTTTGCATATATCTGATGAAAATCTTTTATAATATCATAATTTCATAATATTTATGAGTTGTATAAAATAAACTATAATAAGAGTTATAAGTTGATACTTTAATAGGTATGTTTATTTTATATATTACATTTTCTAAGTTAATTAATTTTATGATCGTTTTTAAATACGTTTTTCATCTAAATAGTGAAATGTTTTTAATGAAAAACTATACTCTTTTCCAAATAAGTTTGAAAAGACTGCACAGTGTACAGCCTTGGAATGGTTCGACCACTGTAATTAGCAACCATTAAGTCTGCTCATATGGGAACTACACATTTTTAAGCTTATTCGGAATAAAGTATAACAACTATTATTTCAACAAAGCTATACAATTAACTTTAAATAAATAAAATTAGTGAATTAATTATATAACTCGATATAGGAATCTAAATATTGTTGGTGATTTTAGGACTTGTCTTCACCTTTAACTAAAAATATTACTCTTCAAGCACCATTAGTATCATCACCAATGGATACTGTAACTGAATCAGAAATGGCTATTGCAATGGCAGTAAGTAAAATATTTAATTACACTTTTATAATGTAATTGATAATAATATATTGTCTTAACTCTGTTAGAATTAAATGTTTTCTTTCTTATATTAAAAATACTAATTCAATTACTCTGAACTTGGTACTAAAACATACAAATTTATTTGTTTCTTATACATACCCAACAACAATTTTATTAGCTTAAGTGACTTTATTTTTTATTTTTAATGTACTCGTATATCACTTTTTTTCCATTGATTGCAAAATAAAAATAATATATTAAATAAAGATGACATACAATATTTTGAATTGATTAAGATAGAGACAAAAAACAAATAATTGTATACTGTTAAAAAAAAAAAAAAAACTTTTACCTTATAAAACCTACTTTCGTCTAATAACTAGGTACAAGAATGTTAAAGTTCTTTGTGTAATAAAAACACCACAAATCTATGAATGCAATTTACTGATCCAACTTAATTTTTGATAAAAATTACCAATATAATTACACAAATCATCATGTTGATAATTTTGTTTATAGCTTTGTGGCGGGATTGGTATTATTCATCATAATTGTTTGCCTACTTATCAAGCAAGTGAAGTTCTGAAAGTAAAAAAATACAAACATGGATTCATTCGAGACCCTGTAGTTATATCTCAAGATTTATTGGTAATTATATAGTGCATTAAGTTGGTAAATTTAAAAAATAAAAATAAAAATAATGAATTATTTGATAACTATAGGTGTCTGATGTTTTTCGATTAAAAGAAGAACATGGATTTTGTGGTTTTCCTGTTACTGAAAATGGTAAATTAGGTGGCAAATTAGTTGGTATTGTTACATCAAGGGATATTGATTTTCTTGAAGGATCAGAGCAATTACAACAATCAGTCAACTTGGTAATAATTTTAATTCATCTTTTAATATGTTTTTAAAAAAAATACCTACTAGATATAGGTAAATAATACCAATTAAAATTTTAAAAACATTTATTTAAAAAAATGTATCTAGGTAATGACAAGAATAGAAAATATAATTTCAGCAAAATCTGGGGTAACTTTAGAACAAGCCAATAGCCTTTTAGAAAATTCCAAAAAAGGAAAATTACCTATTTTGAATGAAAAGGGTGAATTAGTAGCATTAATTGCTAGAACAGATTTGAAAAAATCACGTGACTATCCAAAAGCGTCAAAAGATGAAAATAAACAACTTTTAGTTGGTGCCGCTATTGGAACACGTGAGGATGACAAAGATAGACTTCATTTATTACATCAAGCCGGAGCTGATGTTATAGTTTTGGTAAGAATATCTTGAATTTCTGTATTGATGCTTATCAAAATATTTTATCCACTGTACTATTTATTAATTTATTAGGATTCATCACAAGGAAACTCTGTTTATCAAATTGACATGATTAGATACATTAAAAAAAATCTCCCATCATTACAAGTTATTGCAGGAAACGGTAATACATTATGCTTTTAAATCTTATTGTTAATTTATCGTTTTACTAAGCTTAATAATTATTCTTTAGTTGTTACTATGGCACAAGCAAAAGCTCTCATTGATGCTGGAGCTGATGGCTTAAGAGTTGGTATGGGTTGTGGATCTATTTGCACAACACAAGAAGTAATGGCAGTTGGTCGGGCTCAAGGAACTGCTGTTTATAGAGTTGCACAATATGCTTCACAGTTTGGTGTGCCTGTTATAGGTGACGGTGGAATTCAATCCATAGGTCATATAATTAAATCTCTTTCACTCGGAGCATCCACTGGTATGTATCCCTAACCTTCTTTAATAGTTATGTTGGGTGCAAAATTATAGGATGCATAAGGATACTAAGGATGCAAAATAATTGCAAAAAAGTATTTTATCTTAATAATTTGACAAAACTAGAGTTAACTTCTAGATGTTTGATAGAATGTAGTTAATATGTTTATAATCAAAACCTGGACCATATAGTTCATAACTCAGATAATATATCCTGGATAGAGCTAAGATTTAAAACCTTGAACCACAATTTTTGGACTCCAATGTCATGAATGCGCATGCGCTAAAAGTAAAGTGATTGTAGTAATATATAACCGCAATTATATTACCACTACACATGCGCAAAAGATGATAGTGATTGTCATAAACCGTCATCTTCATGTCCCCATTCCGCACTATCAATTTAATTTCTCATGCATGTGCAATAAATGTATTTGGGCCAAGAAATTGCACTTCAAGTACAGACTATGAGTGATACGCGCATAGCTCTATCTAGTATATATTGTCTAAGGTTAATAAAATGTTGTGATAATAACTGTCATAGAGTTTAACTCAAGCGTAGTATCAACATAAAACAGATCAAAAGTACCTACAATGTTATATAATATTTTTTTTATAGTTATGATGGGATCCATGTTAGCCGGAACATCTGAATCGCCTGGTGAATATTTCTTTTCAGACGGCGTAAGGCTAAAGAAGTATCGTGGTATGGGAAGTTTGGAAGCAATGAACAGAAAAGATGCTAAAGGATCAGCATTAAACCGATATTTCCATAGGTATAATAAATAATATTTATTCGTCGCATAGCATTACTTTCAATTTAACTAAATATTTATTCACAGTGAGAAAGATTCCTTGAAAGTTGCTCAAGGTGTCAGTGGAACGATTGTGGATAAAGGATCTGCTCTCAGATTTTTACCATACATACAGTGTGGTTTAAGACACAGTTGTCAAGATATTGGTACTAAATCTCTTAAAAATCTCAGAGAAATGATGTTATCGGGTCAACTTAGATTTGAAAGACGTACACATTCAGCACAACTTGAAGGAAATGTACACAGTTTATTTTCATATGAAAAACGATTGTTCTAGTACGAAAATGTGATATTTATTACTTATCAACTTATTTTATGCTTAAGTAAAAACAAAATTATATCAAATTTTTACTTCACCTATCATATTGTTTTCCAACGAAATAAAAATAATAAACTCTTCTCATTATGTTGTATTTGAATACTTAGAAGTTAAACTATTGACTGTGTCGCTGTACATTTGTAATTTTTGTTGTAAAGTGGCAAGCTGGTCACATTCATCTCTGCTATAATGATACTTACTTTTCCACTGTTGTACCATTTTTGATAATTTTACTATTTCATCACTGAAAAGAAAAAAATCAAGATACCTATTTAATTGATCAATTTTGTTCATAATACTCAACATGAGTTTATTAATTATTAATTTTTATACTATAGAACATTGGCAAACATAGATATTATCAAAGGGGGGGTTTACATTAAAAACTTTTAAATAAATATTATGAAAAAAAATTATAAATTTTTTTTAAATTTTATTCATTTTATTTACCTATAGCAAAAAAATTATCATGAGGTATTTGAACAACCCTCCCCCCCCCCTGTGGACGCTTCTGCTATAATTATTATTATTATTATTGCGTCAGTATTTTAAAACTAGTTTGTATGTACAAAAAGAGTGACTGTAAGTGCCGATTAAAAGGTATTGACCTCAATAACTGTGCCTACACCCCCACCCCCCTCTCATAACATTGAAGAATCCTGCGTACGCCACTGATCGGCATGTATCATCTAAGACAATATTTTGTAAATTACCAAAAAAAATAATTGTGCATTAAGAGGACATTATACTTGCATGTGTTGTCTCCGTCTTACAAGTGAGTAATTGTGTGTATATCTTAAAATACTCATAACTAGGGAACGGATTTGAATGCAAATTGCATTTTTTTCCGAATGTCTGAAAACATTTGTTTCAAAGCAAAAAGTTCATTTTATACATCAAAGAATTAAAAATTGTAACTTTTATTTTGCATTTTTTTTTCATTTTTAAGACTAATGCATTTTTTGAAATTTTTAGCGCATGTTGTGGTTTTTAAGTCATTTTTCCACATTCATTCTAAAAAAAATTAAAATACCTAAATATGTATTATGTTACGAAATTATTGTTGACATGTGTAGACACAAAATATATACATACAAGTTACAACAGATTATTACCCATATTAAGGTAAAGATAAGAAATAAGATACGATAAATTATTTATCTAAAGTTAATTAATTAAGATTGTATTGTATTTAAATATTTTTTATAATAATGTGTTTTGTATAAGTTATAAATACAAAATTTTGTTTTTAATGAATATATACCCATTTTTTAAGTTTTTTAAGGGCATTTTTTGATGTTAAATCATTGTTTTAAGGCATTTTTCTTGTTTTTTAGAGCTTTTAAATCCGTTCCCTACTCATAACTTACTTAAAAAATTAAAATATACTTAAAAGTCCAAGAGATGACCTAGATAATATTTAATCTTACCATTGATTCTTATAAAAGGTCAATTTACTTCACATTTTAAACTAACGGAGGTAAACGTGATCTGCTGAGCATGTTTCAACTTGCGAGACAGAGTGTACATGTGGGTATAATGTTCTTTTAATTCACAGTTAATACGAGAGTATTAATACATTTGTCTATTGATATCTAAGCTTTGCAAATTTAAAAAAAGATTTACCTTAAATTTTCCTACACTTAACAAAAAAAAAGTCATTGAACAGMGAAGTCAAGTTGAATAATCAGTAAAAGCTGAATATACCTTCAGCTAGTTCAAGTATTTTAAGTTAAAATATTTACGAAAATAATAACTATCTTGACCTTGACCACTTGCAAATTTTATACAAAATTAAATTTTCGAATGCAATTTCTTATGGCAAAAATGTATTTAACCTGCAGTGGTACAACAATGCCTAATAGTGAAATTAATTACATTAATCACAGTAATAATGTACTATGTAGGTTGATAGACCTATTCTTCACTCGGAATCATTTTTTGTATACAATGATTATTGAATTCAAATTTAAAACATCCATTGCAGTCACTCTCTAATCATTAGACAACTAACGTACAGCAGGTTGTTATCCACTTACCTGCTTTTATTTTAATTTAATCTATCAATTACAGTAAAAATAAAAAACAAAGCTTACATCCATAGTCAGAAAATACCTCGTTCAAAATATGACTAAATTTTATAATTACATATAGGTACATAAATAGAGGGTAAATTAAAGGGTTCACCTGTTGGTATAAATGGTAGAGTAACTCTTATATCCATCAAATTTTACAAATTCGCTGTCAATTGGAATATAGTTTTCTTGTATTTTTTGCTCTTCAGTGCTTTCGTGATTCAAATTACATTGCTAAACACATAATAAATAGATTAAAATTAGTAATTAAGAGGACGTTGCATCTGCATTTGTGTTTTCTCCGTATTATGAACGTACGCAACAGTGCAAATTTTCATTCACTAGTTATAGTTATTATTTACAGCCCAACGTATGCTTTTATTAATATTATTAAATTGAAATAAGTTATGATCATTTTAAAATGTACTGTTTCACAAAAGTCATAATWTCCTTAAAATAATAATACCAATAACAGCCTATGTGGGACCAGAAATAATAGGTTGATTATTAATAACATTAATAATTTAACAATAGGTCAATTCAATCTAATAATAAAATTAACAACACACTATTGAAATTGGCAAATGAAAATATGTTATGTCATGCGTATGTAAGACGTAAACGGACAGAAACAAGACATGACAATGACTTCATAATAATTTGGGTAATTTATGACTTTATTTAAAAGGGTATCCGTACAATTTCCCCCCGGACATTT